ATCCATTTAATCTGCCCTATGTAAACAATTATTTTTCAGTATAAAATGTAATAGATACATAAATACCGATTAAAAATATATATGACAAAAAATAGTTTACCTCTTTCATAGTAATTCTCAAATAACTTTTTACTATTTTTAAATTTGAAAACATTCTTTCAGGAGTAGCCGTTGAAACCGGCAGTGTACATAGGACTTTTAATGACATGTGAATCCTTGGGAAGATCACTGGATTACAATGTTTTAATGCATCGATTCCATTTGATGGTTTATCATTCAGACGAGCAAGTTTTAGTTTCCATATTTTAAGTTCACCGAGAGCGGTAGACAAATCATTAAAAGATAAATAGAATGAAACGAGAGATTCAAAATCAGCTTCATTAGAATCTTCATTGTTGTCAAATAAACAATGAAAACCTAAATAACGTAGGTTTTAATTATATGTAGTAATTAGTATATTATTATATATTTATATTATATTAATTATTAGGAACAAACCTTTAAAAATATTATGGTGCTCTAAGAATCTGATCTCTAGTTGGTTTATGAATGACTCAATATAGGGAATACAAATAGTAACTCTAAAATAATCTTCTGGTTCTTCTGATAATAATGATGGATTAGCACGGTACGTTTGCCTTTTGTTTAATCTTTTTACTAAAATTTGAAAATCTAGAACTTCAGCCATTTTCTAAAATAAAAGCAACAATTTGAATATTATTTATAAATAACACTTATAAATATAAGAAGCAAACTATATGTTTATCATTAATGTTAGTTACTTGAGCCTCATTAAATATTTTTTTAATTCAGTTTCAGTATTAGTTCTTAGTTGTTTAAGAGCATTCACGTTATCTTCTGCTAGAGACCAGTGTTTCCCAACCTTTTTACCACCACGGACCACTTCGACAATATTTTATAGGTCGCGGACCACCTCAATTTTAAGAAAACTAGGAAGACCTTTTTTTTGCTCATTAACAAGAATACACATAATTTATCGAAAAATGTTAATTTTTATTATTTTACTTTACATTTTATTACTATAATTCACTAATATATAATTATACTTTACTATACTAAATAATTTACTTAGTGTGATTTTTGTGACTGCATTTCTTCGACCAGTTTTTCAGTTCTTGGATGAATGTTGCTCATATCTAAACGCATGTCGTCACTTACGTCCAAGCGATTCCTCTGTTTATTTTTGATTACAAGTAAACTAGAAAATCCTTGTTCACACAAATATGTAGTTGAAAATACTAGTAAATAACTTAAGGCGATTTCCCGGAGTTGTATATGTAATGTTGCCCTTCTGCACCAAAATTCCTCAAGGTTTATACCAGAATCAAACATATTTTTGCAGTCAGAGTCATTTTGCAGTTCGATGACAGCTTCTTGAAGATATTCTGGGGCTTCTTCAACTTTTGCACAAAAAGGGTTTGAATTATTTTTTGAACACTGTTAACTTCGTTCCATTCCGGAAAGTAGCGAGTAAATTCAGATTTTAATTTTTCCAGATGTTTTTTTATGTTATGTTGAATTTCGATTCTAATATCAGCATATTGATCGTCGTTGATAAGAGTTTGGAAAGTCTGAAATGTCGAATAATTATTATTCTCGATTTTATTCATCCATAGATTAATTTTGCATACAAATGCGCGAATTTTATCTTCAAAAATAAAAATATTTGCTCTAAATTCCAAGGTTTTGTTTCCCGAACCTTGAAGTTGCAAATTAAGGTTATTTAAGTGTTCAAAAATATCTACTAAATAAGCAAGTTGTAATTCAAATTTCAAATCACAAAAAATTTCAAGTAACTCTGAATCCTTCTCGTTTAAAAATATTTTAATTTCCTCTTTTAGTGCATACAACCGTTTTAGCATATTCCCTTTTGAAAGCCAGCGAACCTCTGTATGAAAAAGTAATGTGTCGTATTCGGAGTCCAATTCAACAAGTTTTTTCAAGTTTCAAGTTTTTTGAAAATACGTGTGTTGAGTGCTTTGCTTTTCACAAAATTCACTAACTTTATTGCTAGTTTCAAAACATTAGCTAATTCTTCTGGTAATGTTTTTGTAGCTAACGCTTGCCGATGAATAACACAGTGTGTCGTTAAAGTTCGCGGATTTTTTTCTTTTACTAATGTTGCAAGACTGAACGAGATCCTAGCATAGCTGGAGCTCCGTCCGTACAAAAGCCAACTAGTTTCTCCCACTTGAGATCATGATGTTCAAAATAATTGCTAATGATTTGCATTACATCAATCCCTTTCGATGTTGTCTCAAGTACACTTGACAGCAATAACTCTTCTTTTATGGTCTTATCCTCAATGTCTAAAAACCGCACAAAAACTAATAACTGGCAACATTGCGCAATGTCAGTACTTTCATCACATTGAAGAGCGAAATAAAGGGAACTTTTTATTTTTAAAATCAATATCTTTACTTTGAAGTGGTTTACACAATGGTAGACCATATGAAAATAAAACCTATTACAAAAAAAAAAAAATTTTTATTAAACTACACGATTCAATATATTATTGAATTAGGTACCTTTATAATTTGCACCGATATAAGAAATTCAGAGTCTATTGCATTTTTTAACATATTGACCTCGACTGCAGTAACATCTTTCCATTATTTTATTTTTAAAAAGAGTTACTACTTCACCACCATGTGTTCTCGGCCAATTAGTTGTCTCTTTATCGTAATAAGTACTAAGAGGTTTCATGAATGCAACATCAAGAGGCTGTAATCTATGCGTACAGTGTGGAGGGAAACAAAGAAGTATGACGCCACCATCACGAGCTAATTGAATCAGTTCAAGACTTTTTGTGTGAGTACAATGACCATCTAGAAGCAATAAAACTGGATTTTCTTTTGTAGCACGAGAAAATTGAATAAAAAGTTTCATCCATTTTTCAAAAATTTCTTTTTGCACCCACCCAAATTCGTGGAATTCTGCTGTAGAACCAGGTGGAGCATTTCTCATAAACTCAGAGTTATATCTTTTCCTTGGAAAAATAAAAAAAGGTGGCATGAATGTGCCAGCAGCGTTCATACAAATCTCTACAGTAATAGTTTCACCACGTTCAGCAACTTGCTTCCGGCCTTTTGATGCAATTATTTTTGATTTTGACTTGGGTACAGAAGATATTCCAGTTTCATCGCAGTTGTAAACTCTATCCGGTCTAAATTTATATTTATCCATTAATCCTTCTAAAAGTTGAAAAAAATCTGTAATCACTATTTTGTTTAATCCCATGGCTCGAGCCGCAGAAGTGGCTTCAGGATTTCTTAGAGAGAGTTCAGGGTGTCTCTTCATGAACCCTTGGTACCAATCATGACCGGCTTCTTTTTTAATACAAGAAAATGTATGTTTTATGTTATTTTGTTCTGCCAGTTGTAAAGCCATTTTCTTTAAGTCTCCTACGCCCAATCCAAACAAGCGACCTTCCATTAGTTGAATGTATGCAAGTAATTCATTTTCTTCTTCTTCATTGAAAACTGAATGAATTGGTCCTAGTATTTCCTTATTGCCTGCATCGTAGGTAGGATCATTTCTTTTTTTCATTATCTATATATTAGAATAAAATTATATTTAATCAATTAATATGTTAAAAATTATAACTATGTTTATCATACTTTTCTTTCAAGTGTACTTTTTGATACGCTAAAGAGCACACTGGTTTCGCGTACAGTTTTCTTTAGATTAATTACAGCATCGACAGCATTTCTCATATTATCGGAAATCCAACTTTGCCGAGTAGTCGTCCTTTTTCTGGTTCTTGGCATATTTCTGCACTATGCAATAATAACATAATTATACAACTGTATGTTATTTTTAATAGGTACCTACCTAATTTAGAATATTAAGTTAAAATATGATTTTATAACTATTTATAAAATATATAGCTGAATCTAAATTTAATATTCTCAAAATCTAAAAATATATAGATAGGAATAGCTTGTAAATTTAAATATACTTTAACATGAAGAAATAATTAATTTAATTAAAAAATATATTAACTAAAACAGTTAAAATAAAGTATTGATTCAAAAACAATATAATATGGGGTAAGATGGGACACTTTGTCTCACCCCAAAGTGAATATCCCATCTTGACTCAATCAATACGACTTAAAAAAAGCGGTCTACACTTGTATAGTTAGCAAAAAAGTCAAAATAAACAATACGGACGTAATTTATACTTATTTTGCAGCAATAATAACATAAAATAATAAAAAATAAGAAATTGTTTACTTACATTACAGACGGAACGGTTTCTTGATATTTTACATTCACATGGCCGAAAACCGTAAAGTCGTTTTTTTTCTTTTACTATCACAGAATTATATCATTGATGATAAACAACACAATACCAGTGTGACCAGCAACAACTATTTTTGCGTTGGAAAAAAAAAGTCAACGGGTTCGGAATTATGAGAATGTCCCATCTTACCTCAATACTTCATCTTACCCTAGTTTCCCCTACTGAAAAAATATGATAGACACAATATTGTCATTTGTCAATATCACATGTTTATTTATTTATAAGTACACAATAACAAGTGATAATGGAAAACGCAGTATGTTTGTGGTATATTACATCTGCTTTAAAAAATGTATATTTATATGTCGCTGAGAAATTGCTGGCTCAACATCGAAATAGAAATGTAAAACGACCGCTGATGAACCCGTTATATGTGATATGGCTCCGAGTAGATAAAAAGAAACGAATTTATATTATGAAGAACTGGCTATTCGGCTTGATTTTAGTTTTATATTACAACTCAAATTTCAGGTTTGTCCGCAATGTCGTCATGGGCGACTGTTGAAACTGTTTACCGTTCAATAATAACTAATTTTTATGACAAAAATAATATGTACGTCACCATTTAAGGATCATTTCTAATTGTAATAATGTTCAAATAAATATTACTAGGCGAAATCGCTAGTTCCTCTTCGTTTGCTTATACCCAGACAATCAACTCGTCACGAAAGATGAGTTCCAGAGGAGAACGAGGAGACAGCTACTTCTCAAATTTACGTGGCGCCAACATTAGGAAGCCGTTTGGAAGCAAACCTCAAACATTGTCGATAAGGACTCAACTCGATCGAGAAAAGTGGGTGTAATAATATTACAGGAGTTATGCCGGTCTCTTTAATTTTTGTTGAAATAGTTGGAAGGGAACACGAAAGAAATAATATAAACACTTAAAGTAATAATATTGTTAGAACTATATAGAAAAACTAATCATAATGACAATTATACTAACACAGTATAGATGTATGCATACATACATAGATACAAACATAGTAACGATATTATATTACCTGTGGAACGAGTGTGTCGCTTTGTCACACTCGCATATTCCTAAATCCACAACAAAATTTGACAATTAAATCCACACCTTTATATTTCAAGTTGTTGCTATATATTTGTGGATGCGTTAGAATACAAAACGGATAGACATTTTTAGTATTTAACTAAGACAGCAGGCATGTATTTTTATTACAACAAAAGCATTATAAAAAAGACTATCATGAATCATACAATGATATGCAGCAGAGCTGCCACATACATAACAGTTGTATTTGTATACAAAAATCAATGTATACCTAGTTGATATATAATCTAAAACGATTGCCTAATTCTTATGGTAAATACTTCTTAGTCGTAGAAGCTCTGCGATGTATGCCGGTACTGCCGATAGCTGTTGTATAAAGTTATCAATATAGAAATCATTTCATCAGATTTTTGAATTTTTTAACGTCCTGTACCACGTTGTTTTTTCACAGTTCTTGTAGGAGATTGCTTTGAAAGTTTATGCATTATAGATTTGAATGTCATGGCTAAAGTTTTTAATAAAAACTGTTGAGAGACCCTTTTTGGTTCACTATTGCACTATTCACAAATTCTTTTGTTTTATTATGACGACTAATTTCTACAACTGTGGTGAGAGATATTAAACAATCAGGTTGTTTTATAACTTTCCAGTGCCCAAAAATAAAATAATTTTCCTATCTTCTTCGGTGAACTCGTCACTTGTTAAGACATTTTGAATTAACACAAGGGTGTTTTTTAACTTTCTTACCAACATCGTAAACACAGTTACGATTTTTCTTAAGCTTTTTAATACTTTTTAACCACTTTTGCAATGCGAATTAAGAAAATTAGAGATTTACATAAATATAGCAAAATTGAGGTACTGTGTCGAGGGTCTGACGAGGTTCCTGTACGAGAACCTTCTAAGAGGTTCTATCAAACAATGACTGACTGCTATGTCGCCATAGCCTATGGCTTAGCCCAGAGCTGCCGGGCATGCAGGCGAAGTGGCAGACCCAAAGGGCTGACACAGCGTCTACACGTCCGTTCTCACGCAACAACGCGTAAAAAAAATAATGCATATACAATAAAACAAATAAAAGAATATTCAACCCGATTCCTAGTGCTATAATACAACATTAGTAACATACTAAAAGTCCCTTAAGATTGTATGCCGACTAGCTCCACTAGAGCGCTTTATGTCAATAAAATCAGTTTTTTGGATATATCAACGTAGGAAAAACAGCAAGATGCTTTTTCCGTAATTTAGATTTCCTAGAAAATTACGGGCATCGATAATAAAGAGCTTAGAGTAATTTTACAAACTGTGTTATCTGTGTTCTGTATAGAAAAAATTTGATTTCTTTAACATTTCTAGGTATGGGAAAGTTCTGATCTCATTTGATCTTGCGTGGGTTAGGCTTCACGCCTTGGTCCCTGAACACATGACATAAGTATTGGGTTTCTTTTTTTTTTTTAGAAATTTGCACTGCATAGGTCGTAACTTGAATTACAACCTAACCTAAGTTTCCATAACTTGGATATGATTGACATTGATGGAAAACTCTAGATATTCATTATACATGAGATTGTCGAGACTAGGTATTCGAAGATGCTCAGGAGTTTCTGTAGAATTTAGAATAAAAAGCAACACTCGGTTACCATGAAGTTGACTTACGACATAGTTCCTTCTGAGACGTTTGAAGCAGGTATGATAACAAGAGTTTCTGATCGAAGGGATAAAATAATACTAGATGCATTAGGAATAATTAACTCGTTTGTACCATAGTTAATGAGGGTTTGATGTCCAACTTTTAAAGCTTTTCCAAGAATACCGTTGATTATTGTAAACTAGATGCATTAGGAATAACTAACTCGTTTGTTCCATAGTTAATGAGGGTTTGATGTCCAACTATAAAAAGGTTTTCCAAGAATACCGTTGATTATTGTCTATTGAATTAATCGATAATAATAATTGTGTTTTGTTTATAGCATGTGCAAGCAGTTGCCTTTCCTGAACATCATGCACGATAAGCGAGTGATCAGAGGCAGCAATTTTGTCAAAAAACCATACGTAATTCCCGTCTTTATATCATGCAGTTTTAATGAATGTTAAACTTAGTCAACTGTTTGGTTGAGATTATTTACCATGGCGCGCCTTTGCGTCCGTACGGTGAATTGCCGTCGCTGGAGGACCGCAAGCACTCGCAGCACCTTACAAGACGGCGTTGATCATCTCGGCATCAACCTATTGTTTACAACTCAACGGTGCCGATTATGTGTGTGTGTGTGTGCGAGTAGCTCTTGTTGGCACCCTTTTTTTTTTTTAATTATAGTATTTTTTTTACGACGATTACGAATCTCAAATAGGAAATTGGCGGAATTTTTTAAACGTTACAGCGACTTGAACTTGGAGAATAAAGTTGGGCGAGTCGCCCGCCGTGAGGTGTCGTCCAGTTGCAGCAGTGGACTACGCGAATCACGATTAAAAAACACGGTAGTTGTTTTCAAATACGTTATTAACAAATGATTAGGGTTGGCAGAAACGCTAGGTTTGGTCTCACTAGGTCGCTGACCGCTTCCAGAGAAGTAACTGGTTAGCTTTATTTATTTCCTTTAGGTGAGCTTTTCGGTTAGTTTGGTCATTTTTGGTGTAAACAACACGAATGTTGAAAATAAGTGCTTTTAAACGGAAATGGAGAGTTGTATTGAATGTTTAAAACCGTGTACAAAAATAAGTGGCTCCGATATGATCCACCTGCACTAACAAGAGAAATTCATATCGAGAGCAAGCGGCTTCGATAAGTGACAAGAGCAATAATAATTTTATATGAGAAACGCACAATTCCGGTTTAATTGAACAAGATTTTCATTCGTAGGTGGTTTGTTTTCTGCCTAATCCATTTTGACTGCAAAATCGACACATCTTTCTTTTTAGTCCTTCAGTGTTTTCTTTATAAGACATTTTCTGTAATTTTGTAGATTGTATGTTTATTCCTCATATTCCTTGGCTGAATTTCAGGTGGTGGTTTTATTGGAAACAGGCCGTTTACTAATGACAATCTAAAACCATACATTGTTATTGTTTTGTTTGTTGGGTAAATTCAAGAGAAAGATTTTAATAGTATGGATGAAAAGCTTCTTGTACCACCTTATGGTCTTTCTTTCGCAGTGATTGTTGATCAGAAGATGGCCTTATCGATCAATTTCAGACATATTGGTTGTTTTACAAAGACCTGACAAATGAAATTACTTTTGTTCAAGTAAATATTTTCAAGATTTTTTTTTAAAATTAATTTATACTCATTTTTTGCTATAATCAACACAGTTTATATTAATCTTAACTGTTTTAATTTTTTCTAAAAAAATTCAAAAGACATTTTATTAAGTAAAATTTGCTGAGAATTTTGACTCGTCGATAACTAAATTTGGATAATTAATTTTTAGGTTATTAAATAATAATAAAATAATTAAAAACAGTGAAATGTAATACAAAAAGTGGTGTTTATAGCACAAATGAGTATAAATTAATTTACAAAAAAAGTTTTAAAAATATTTACTAGAATAAAAATTATTTCATTTGTCAGGTCTTTGTGGGATACCATGTATTCTTTAAACCCAAAACAAAAAATCATACTTTCGTCCAAGGTCACTGTTTTCCAGGATAATAAATTCTCTTTTTTTCGGTGGCAGTTGTTAAGCTACAGGTTTTTTTGAAGAGATTACAGATTCGTAATCAACGTAAAAAAACTTAAATATGGTAAAAAAAAAGGAGCCTTGCGTAGTGCATTTGTTCCCAAAATGTTATTACAATAATAAGAAAAAATCCCATTGCTCTCTTTAATTATTCCCAGCTAAACAAAGAATGTTCCGCAATTCGCGAAGCCGAAGCCCGACGACGAGCAATGGCCAGGAAAAAAGCTTTGGACAACCAGACCCGTGCAATGCGTTTGCATTTGGGAGGATCCAAGTTGTCAAAATATAGACAGAACGTCGACAACCACGCTGAAAGTCATTTAGAAGAAGTAAGAAAAAATCCCCTAGATTTTTCATTTACATTAATTTATAAAAAAATGGTTTTGGGGTAACTACCAATTTTTCTGTTACCTATATCCAAAATTATCTCCTACTAAGTTCTCTTGCAACTCGTAGGAAATTTGCTGATATCTCTTTTGTCTACAAACTCATTAATGGCTTTATTTCTTGTTCCCCACGCCTTGATCTTATTCCACTCAACGTCCTACATTTATACGCTAGATTCTGTCCTTCCTTTTATATTACACCGCATCGCAAAACTTATGGATACAATAATCTGATCAACATAATGTTACGAGAATAGAATTGAATTGTTAATTGAGAGGTCACATTTCAAAACGTACTATCCTCCATTCTAGAAAAAACTTAAGCGACTTATGGTTGTATATAACAAAATAATAATAAAAACCCTTAATCATAAAAGTTATATTCTCTCCTCGTATACGACGTATTTCGGCAACAATGTTGTCATCTTAAGCGTTAACGATAGACTGACAGACCTGTACTCTTTAACAGTACTAAATTGTTAAAAAATGTCTATGAACTGTTGGGGCGAATCTATATTTTCTTTTTTCTGCAGAACCTATTCTATACGCCCAAAAACACGATTAGGAGGCATATAGCTATGCCTCCTAACTGGAAATTAATGATTAATATTGGTAAAAATGGTTACTTCACAATTTATGTTAGTAGTGTATTGTTGAGTAAGAATCATCCTTTCTTGCCAGGGATCCTCGAGGATGATCCTTCCTTATCAAAAAAAGGATTGTTATCAATGATAAGATAAACGACATGAAAAAAATGGATGATTGTGAGTATCCATGTGGTATGAAAGATTGTTATCAGTGATAAGAAAAACATCGTCAGACATAATTTTAATAAGATTGTCCATAGTGCTTGTTTGTATTCACTGTTAATTTTTGACCATTCGCATCTGATGTGAATACATTTTCTCTCGCTCAGGTTAACTGTAAACACCGCAGCCGATATAAGCTAAGTATCCACCGTGTTGATATGTCTTCTCGGCTAAATTCTTATTTCTTTTTTCCAGTAGCCACTCATAGTACACACACGCGATATCACTTCACAACTAGATAACCGTTCTAACAGAACTCTTCACGACGCACTACTGGTGGTCCCATTAAAAAGCCCCTTTTTATGCATCTAAGCGTTTGCCCGACGGCCAATGATATTGCAGTTTGTGTTGAATTCGTTCCGGCCAATTGCATTTAACGGTTTCTTATATATATTTTGTTGTCAGCTGCTAATTATTATTATTCAACTACACACAATAGCGCGCTTTTCTTATTCGTTAATTATTATACACCGTGGATACCTTCACAGCCCAATTTTTTTAAAGCCGTTTTTCTTATTACTGATAACAATCTGTCATACCACATGGATACTCACAATCAACTATTTTTTTGATGCAAAAAAAAATTCTTATTACTGATAGCAATCCTTTTTTTGATAAGGGAGGATCATCTTTGAGAATCACTGATAAGAGAGGATGATCCTTACACAATAATACACTACTTATGTTGAATAAAAGTATACATCGTAAACTGATTTCTGTTTTGACCTGAACAAGAATCGAAGAACAGAAAAGTACAGTTAGTTTAAAAAAAACTAGGACAGAGCAAACCTCATTTGGTCCCTTCCTATTATCAGTCTCTTTTCAAGTGTACAAAGTACAATTATTTGGCCCTTGGTTTAAGTCAGATATTACAAAGGTTAAATTATAATTCTAAACCGGACGACAGTAAAATACATCTGTTACCGACAGTTAGGGGATTGGTTGGGTCTACATCATATCAAATGAGCAATTAATACTATCAAACCTTTATTCTTTTAATAGTTCGTAAAATCTTTTGGCTCTTTTTGGACATTTAATTGATTGTAATATGAGTTAATTTTTTAAATCTTGCTTAGGCTCGAGTTGAATTTTGAACTTTTGCTCTGAGCAAAAACTACAAGTACCTTGTCGAGGATGACTGAAGTATAAATGTAATTTATAGTAAAGATTATTTGATACTTGGTCAAGCTAGCAATTGGTTTATTATTGTCAATATTTTTTTTTTAGCCAGTGTGTCAACATATTTTATTGACAAGTCAGGATGTAAATAATTTCTTTCAGAATCACGGCGAATGTGATGGCTCTTCCTACATTTAAAGTCTCTTATATGTTCTTCTATTGAATGAGATATTTCCTCTTAAATCATATTTGGCCGATACAACCTCTTTTCTCCACTGGACTAGAATGGGTTAACATATACTCTTTATTTATTAAATTCTATCTTCTTCTAGAAATAGAGGTAATTGATCAAAAAGCTTCAACAGAAACGTTTAACATATTACCCCTAATAATAGGCATAACATAATTTGCAACTATACGATGTGGCCTGTTTATTTTATTCCGATCTATTTTTTTAGCATCAGTGCAGTTATCATAGAGAGTAAATATTTGGCTTGTTCTACTTAATCAGTTATTTAACATAAATTACTTTTAAATTTGTTTATTTCTGCTACTGATAATTCAGGCACTCTGCTTACTGTTGGTCTTTATTTAGTGGCAGTTCATCCCCAGGTAAAAAAGGGGCCCCTTCTTTTTTTTAATTTTAAATATTATAAATATAGACTCATAAGTTCAAAGTTACAGGAGTGTCAAAAATAGCATACACGCTGTACATATTTCAGAAAATGTTGTCAATGTAAGGGTTCTCTATGACAAATAATTCAGTAATTGCTTTAATAGATGTTTGTTTTACAATTTATTCTCTAAAACAAGTTTTGAACGATAAAATTTGACCAGCAAGAGCTTTAGATAAATCAAAATCATAATATTCTACCAATTTATTAACGGAGTTATAAATATTAATTCTCTGTGCATACTTCATAGTTTTTCTAATATAGGATCATATTTTGAAATAAGAGTTATTATTGATGAAAATAATTGGCATTATTTTTACTATCTTCTGCTTCTCGGTGACCTCTATAAGACAACTTGGATGTAGCTAATGTTAATGTGACATTGATAACCCGATCTAATACCGGTCTTCGAAAATTACATTCTTTTTGAATAGATAATTCCATTTCTTCCGTGGGCGTAGGTTATATTGGGTGCAATTTTAACGTATGAATCGGAATTTGGAACATTCTCTGAAACCATTCACAATTTAACTAAACAAATATCAAATTGAGGACCGTTTATTGATATGACCTATACTTTTTCTACATATTCAATTAAGACATAATAACAGAGACAAAGACATAACATTTTCTAAGAATATGAATTTATACATATGGTTTTTTTTAAGACTACGTTTATACTTTTACAGTAGCTCGTGCTAATTACTTGGTATTATGTTTCTTTGGAGACTAAATTTCTTGATTTTTGACACGGTTATATGTATTACTTAAGGTGCTTTTAAGTTATTTTCCTTTTTTCATTGACGATCTATTACAAATTATTATCGTTGTAATTTTACAGCTGTACGAGAATCCGACATCGCAATCCTTCGGAGCTCAAACTGATGAAATAGGTTGCGAACCACCAACCGATGCGGCTATAGGTATTACGACGGGGACGGACGCATCCACTCAAGTGAACGATAACGACGTGCGTACTAGTTGTGTTATTTAATAATTATTCCTTAAAAGAACAATTTACATCTTCTTGGGTGTTGTGTTGAATTGCTAATATCAATTTACTTAAAAATCAGTATCGGTGACGGTTTTTTTAGTTCCCTTGCTACCTCTCTGGCTTTTTGAAATAAACACACCTTAAATAGACAGTTTCTGAGACATTCAAAATTAATGATAATAACATATGATTCTCTGACGGACACAAATATACTATTGTCGGTGAATGACCCATATACTTGATGATATTTGATAATAATAATATGTTCGACAGTTATACGATTTCGAGACTATGGTAAAGCCTATAGCCGAGTCGCTCTTAATAAGCACCTACAAGCAAGCTATGAAGGAAGTGTTGTACGAAGACGAGTTGGACGCGCAGGCTCGGCACCAGAGAGCGTTACACCTATTGCACACCGTTGAACGAATTGAATCGCAAAGACTGGATCGCGCAGACGAAAGGTTGACCAAAATCACTGTAAGTTTTCAGTAGCTGCATCCCACAAACCTACTAATACGTACAGTGACAATCTAGGTTTGGGTTATTGAGTTCAGATGTCACAGCTGTAAAGGTTTTTAAAAAGTCAACGTTGAAAACCTGCGTATTTCACAATTATTTTGTATTTCAAGCTTTACTTGTGAATATCCCTAAAGGCCGTGTTTTTCCATAAGTCTATAATTATTATTGAATAAGCGTTGGTGATTTTTTTTAGGCCGACCACACTCGTTGGTTTGACGAGTGCGTGAAAAAGGATGCGACGGATCGAAAAGATTTGTCGTCCGTGTTGTCATCCAAAAGTGTGTCCAATCTACTTCCCGAGGTACTAGACGATCTCAACAGGGACGGGGTTGTCTTCGATGCCGACGCAGCCGCTACGACATTAGAAAGTGAGACCGTTTTATTTATATTACTGTCTTGGTATTATATTTTAAACTAACATTTTCATACTAGGACCCGAATTCGTACCGTGGTTAATGGAACAACTACAAGCGGACCATACAAAGCGCGTCGAAAATGCCGATATTTTGAAAGGTAAAAACAAAATCTATGTAAATACCAACGCAATTAGAGCAACAATGTATAGTAATGTTCTTGATAAAACCTATCCAACCATATATCATAAACTCAAATTTAGTTGGTTAACCGATTATTTAAATTTACATTCAAAATCACAATATCACTAATAAGATGACTAAACTAATGCTTAACCATGTTCATAAAATAACACACGTGTTACATTATAAGTATAATATAATATTTATTATTAAACAAAAGCGTAGCTCATAAAACAACATTTGGGCAGAAGACATTATGACCTATACATTTTTTCTGTTTTTGTACCATTATAGTCGAATATTAAAGATGCATTTAGAGCTAAACGTTTGTGTAACTTTTTACAGATATGATTCGGCATGTCGTCAAAAACCGACTGGCGCTGGATCGTTAAACCGTTAGGCGGTCAACGATTAGCGGAGAAAATTGAAACTTATTACCACAGTCAACTTCGCCGGAGAAAAAAAAAAATATATATATATATATATAAATTTGTGTATACTTGGGATTTTTCCCACTTACTACAATTTATCAGCATACAAACAAAAATTAGACCCGTATATTATACAACACGTAGTATGCCAATTATTTTTTTTGAGGAAAAGCCGGCGGTTAACTAGTTTGACCATAGTCGCGTAGTAGCAGCCGTTGTGTGAGTACATGCTCTTGGCCGCTCCGCGACAAAGCGCGTTCCTGTGAACACTTTTTGTCCATTTTTCGTTTTGCGTGCCAAAAAAATCGTCTTGGCCTAAAACGGTTCGAACACGGGTCTCGCAGGTAGCCAAGTCCAAAAATGAACCCACGGCGGTCGTTTTAAAGGAGTTTAAATTCAATTTTAAATTACCCGTGTATTATTATTTGCGTTAGTCTTAGTGTAGTGCGACATATACCGATAACGGGCCCATATTCAAACGCCAATATCTCGGCTTTGGATGGTCGTAGAACCACGATCAAAAAAACCACGTACAACGCCCCTCTCTGGGAATGCGAAAAGTTAAGCCGGTAAACCGTAAGTGGTAAAGCTTTTGTTATTACGGGGCTTTTAACTTGGCTCTGAGCTGGTACTCACCGCCGCGGTGTCAAATTACATTTTAACCGTCGGCCGCGGAATTTCTGGCGGCGAAATTGTTAGTAGGTCGCGGAGCTAGGCCGCGCATACAGAACGTGTCAAATGCGTTAGAAATCTTTTTTCCGAAGAGCGCATCCACGCTCTGTAGCACCCCCCAGCTTGGATGAAAATCCAGCTCGGCACCGAACGTGGGGTCCGCTAGTCGCTAAGACAAAATTGAATTTTCTACGCGCGTTTAAAATTTCATTAAATCATAAAATCGCGTTGTTCGTAGTGGCAATTTTTAGTGTAAAAAATCCCTGTGCCCGATCTGTGTGTGCGAGGTACGGAGCCGCGTCAAACAAGAAGCGTGATACATAGACATAGGGTAATCACCCAAGCAGAAATTTACCAAGGGCGCAGTACTGGCATTCTGTACTGCGCCTGTACTGGCGTAACTCCCAAATGATTACTGATAATCGGTACAGATTTTATGCCGGTATAATAATGGCGCAGTACTGGCGTGACACATTAATGACATTACTGTGGACCAGGCATTAAAAACCATGTATATTAATATACATAGGTTATTAAAATTGAGTATAATTTATAAAACATATTATGTACACAGTGCCGGATCTAGGATATTTGACGCCCGGGGCTAATAAAAAATTAGCGCCCTTATATAGTACGAGCTACAGGGGTCGGAGTGTCAGGTGTTGTCAACACAAAATAGAATATTTAAATAGGTACAAATAATAAAGTATAATTTTATATTAAAAATGTTATTGAAACCATATACTAGTCAATATTATACTTAAAAACGATTAAAAAATATAAACACATAAACAAAAATTAATTTTTAATTGGTTATTTTGATTAAGTAAAATAATTGTATTTGTGAAAATTTAAAAATTAACTTTTCTAGCTTTTTTTGCTGCGAAATCATTTATTATATCTTCATAATTAATTTGCCTTGCTATTTTATTTTCTATAGATATAATCGATAGGTTATTTAGTCTTGCTTGCTCTGTAGTGGATCGTAAATATGTTTTTATTAATTTTAATTTGCTAAAGCTTCGTTCACACGAAGCTGAAGTAACTGGCATTGTTAGATATATTTGGTAAGCAACGGATATATTGGGATATGCATCTTGAAGTTTATTTTTATAAATAAAATTCAACATTTCAAAAAAGGTTGCTTTTTTTAAAACTTCACTTATGTTGTAAACATGCTCTTTGAAGCTCTCTAATTCTGAAATGAATTCAAATTTGTTAAGGTCATTTTCATATTTATTGCATAAATCTACTCCGGATCTTTTTAAGTCTTTCATAGGCCATGAATAATTTATTGTTGGATCTAAAAATGAAAAATCTTGAGCGATATTTTCCATTGATTTAAATCTTTGACGTAGTCCTGTTAAAATATTGTCAATAACATTTTTGATCATTATTAAAAATTTTTTTTCTTCACTTATGTTATAAAAATCATCTTCTGCAATTTCTCCGGGTAAAAGTTTCTTTTTTCGTAATCTGACTTTTGGAAATTCAGTTTCTATGCCTAATGCTTTAGCTTTATTCTTTGAATCGGATAAAGCCTCATTTATACCTTGCTCTCGAAAGTTTTCTAATATTTTAAGGAGGCTTTGAAGATGGCCATCAGTTGGCTTTTTTTTAACAAAGAATATACAATAAACATTTATCGTCGATCGTCAGGTTGGGTTTTCTCCGAAAACAAATAGACTGATAAAGACTGGACAACTATAAAAGACGTCAACACCGGACAAAAATATAAACAAAAGATAAATATATACGAATAATAATAATATTATAGTATGAATAGTAATAATATTACTTTTTCTTGATAGATGTTTGGAAATATTTTATAATTTATACATATTTTATTTATTTATTATGGCTTTTTTTTTATTTTTCATATACTTAAGAGCGCCCTTATACCAACAGCGCCCGGGTCAAGGGTACCCACTTGCCCCCCCCCCTAGATCCGGCACTGTATGTACAAGCAGTATAAACAAAAAATTAACTTATTATTTTTATAACAAACTAATAAACTTTATAAAAACAAATTATCTAAACAAAAATTATTGTGATATATTATGTACAGTGGTCACACTGTTTGTAAGACACACTTTTGATTACAGTATCTAAACTAATAAAGTATAAACATACAGAGTCGACAAGGCGTCGCGTCCATGAGTATGCATTGTTTTAAATATTTAGTTAATTAATCTTATGCTCATTAATATACCTGTAATGTGAAGGCCACATTACAATAAATTGGCGACGAAGACAAAAGTGTTATCAAAAAAACGATTATGCCACCAAAGGTTGTCCAAAAAGTGATGAAAGAAGATGAAAATGGGGCCGCAGTTTAGGTGTACGATGCTATGGGCACGTTGGCGGAATTCAGAAGAGACGGCGATTGGACTATATACAAAGAAAGGATAGAGCAGTATTTTTTAGCAAATATGATTCCAGAAGAAAGGAAGGTTCCGTTATTGATTACTTGAATTGGTGAACACATGTATAAAATCTTAAAGGATTTGTGTGATCCGATAAAACCAGCAGAGCATACTTATGAGACGTTTTAATGGACTTAGAGACGTTTTAATTAAAGATAGATTATGTGAAGAAGAACCGGAAGTGGAACTCAACACATTGGTAGAGTTGGCGGTAAAAAGGGAGTCAACTGTCAAAGCATCATTCAGTGGCGGTACAGAAGTACATAGAATGGGAAAAGCAGTCAACGGTAACAAGCTGACGACAGAGAAAGGAAATAAAGGATTCAACAAGCAATGGTCATTCAAGGAAGGAAGCAGTAAAGTATCGACAAGTTATGGTAGGACAGGGAAGTCAACAAGAAAATGTTTTGCATGTGGATTATCTAACCACGTGTTTATAGACTGTAAGTACAAAAATTATCGTTGTAAGTTGTGTAGGTAAGTCCGTTGGTCATTTGCCAAAAATTTGTAACAAAAAAAAATCATTTTACAAGTGTAGTAGAGAATGAAGAAGTTATAAATATGTTTAAAGTGGAAAAAGTGATGCATGATAGTAAACCAATTATGGTGAAAGTGCTAATTGAAGAAAAAGAGATTGAAATGAAGGTAGATTCAGGTGCTGGTGTTTCGATTTTACCTAAAGATGTGTATGATAGGACATTGCCTTATGTCAAATTAGAACAGAAAAATTAAAAATTAAGAACTTATGATGGATCTATAGTGAAACCTTGTGGTGAGATTAGTGTAGAACTAAATTATAGTAATGTTCTTTAAAAAGGTAAACTGTTAGTGGTCGAAAATGAAAATAGAGTACGTACGTGAAGTTGCCCCCCCCCCCCCACTTTGTCCGATCAACTCCGGATCTTCGACAATATTTAGCAACCTATTTGCAACTAATGCAACCGACTTGAAAACATTTGCGACCTAGTTCCACACAAGATACACGGGGTTCACCGACTTATGCATGTGCTATAATTTCTTTGTATAAGAGACACAGTAGATATAATTATTAATGATATAATTAATATTGTACAAAATGTATACAACCCATACATTATAAAACAATTTGTAACATTAAGCCTGATATATTTTGTACTGTGTCATATCGGTACTTTGTGGTACCGGCCAGTCAATCTAGTTTTTTTAAATATCACGTAAATATCATTAAATGTATACTGAGTCTGGCCTAATTGGTAATGTCCATTATATTATCATTATTCTGGTCCCCTCTCAGAGTTTCTGGACGAGTTAAGAGCGTTTATCAATAATTCATTAGGTTCCATTCTAACATATACTTTAAAGGTACTAAATGCCAGTCTACAAAACCTTAAATCACTCGATTTCTAAGAAGTTTCTTTTTTTTAGCATGGAACATGCTTTAGCCTTGGCCTCCCCAGCCCGAAAACAACATTAAAGTAGCGCAATAGCTAAGCAACAAGATTATTGTTTATTTGGCCAGAACATATAATAAAGACTATACTATCATCATAAATCACAAAAAAATATAAATCACAAAAAATCACTATTTATGAACAAGCAGGCTAAAGCTTATTCCATGTTTTATACTTTTAGGCTTTTAGTAGACTGTAATTTTTTCTTCGTTCTCATTATATAATATTATACGTATAAATGACTCACTGACCTTAATTATAAAATTCATGGGCTATTCTGTCGTGCATGCTGGTAATTTGGTTCGTGATCTCGGCTTCCATTTATCGAGAACTCGTTTACACGTTGAAGATATTTGCTGTAAAGCACTTTAACTTCTCGGTTTTATCCAGAGGATTGCACGCGATTTTAAACTATCTGGCTCGCTGAAAGCTCTTTATTGTGCTCTCGTCAGACTTATACTTGAATATGGATCTGTTATTTAGGACCCTCACACTACTGTTGAGTCAATGATTGAGCAAATCCAGAGAAAATTTCTGTGGTTTGCCTCCTACGTGTTCAAAGTCCCTTGTCCTCACCATGACTACTCACCTATTATTATAAATAATAAACTGTAGCTTTCTTTTATTATTACTTGTTACAACATACAATAATTTGTATGTAATATAAATATACTATGGATTTTTAATATTTTATAGCTAAACAATTGTTATAATGTTGTAATTATCGAGGTATAATGTTTTATTTAAAAAAATCTCAATAAATAAAAAATAAAAAATAATTATTATTATCACTAATTTTTACTTTTTTCAAATTGAAATTATACAATTTGGTCTTGTATAAGGGCATTGTACTTGAAAAATAGTATTAAATCCAATAAAAATAACTAACAATGCTGTAAATAAAAATAAAATGATTCATAAGCAATCTAACTTAACCAAAAAAATAACTAGGTATAACAAAAAACAAATTAAACATGATTTAAATACATAATACATAGTTATGCTGCAAATTAAAAAAAAAGTGTATTGTAATAAATGAAACATTCAAATAATACAGTTCTAAATAATTTGATTTTTTATATATGTAATAATATGAGGTTGGATCTTAGTTGAAGTTGCGGTTGTTTTTTTAATTTTTTTTTCCAAGTCGTTATGTATTTCCTATACATTTTTGGACCGTTTAATGTGTGCAACGTATTGGTCTGAATGGTATGCGACTAAACCATAAAATATGTATCTGTAAATAAATAATTTTAATTTTTTGATTTAAAAAAATGACAGTTGTCTTATTAATTTACTGTATTAGTGTTTTTTATTTATTTTATTTTATATTTCGTAATATTTTGTTTTTATCTTAGTTAATAGTTATAACATTTTCATTATAACACTTACGTGTCATCATTTATTCGTAGTTACGTGGGGAATTAATTTAATTGAAAATGTCCGTTTTCTTTAAATATGTCCGTTTCAATAAACAGATGAGGCATTAATTTTCTCGATGAACGTATTTCACTCTCACAGATACCGCAGTCATACGTTTTTCCTTAAATATAATCTTCAATAGATTGTTGCAATTCGGTAAATCCTTTCGTTTTTGATCTTATAATTAAAGTAGGACTTTCGACGGTCTTTTTTATAATTTTTACACATCTTATTCGAGCAACGCATTTCTTGTATGGCCGAAGGTGCGCTTTGCAACAATTTTGTTATAACAAATGCAACATTGCAACGGCTATCAATGACATGTGTTTTTGCAATATTATCACTACCTTTAAATATAGGTTTTAATAGCTCTAATCCTCTAATCTATCAATATAGGTTGTCTTAGAAGGTCCGTTAAGAGCCAGATTTTTACAAAACTTTAGCATTTGGTTGTTATTGTTATCCATAAACAATTTGTATGATACTATGTCAGTATAAGCCATTGTGATAATGCATGCAAGTGCATCAAATGGACACGTGTTCATCAATAAAAATGTTTTTTTCGCATAACTAACGGGTGTTGCAATATTACCATTAAGGAGAAGAGAATTTAGGTTCGACCTTGTATTTGCCTTTTGCAAATACCGATCGATTTCGGGAGCTGGGTCCATGTAAGTGGTTATACGTTTTTTTTTACCAATTTTGTTTCCAGGGAATGAAGGAATTTCTGGATTACCTAGCCCCCGCCAATTTTCATAGGCATCTAATGAATTATATGAAGTAGAACTTGTATCACTACAAAGGTTCTAATTCGTTAATTTCATTAATGGTATTATCTGATTTGTCTTTACAGTCTTCAACGCTTGAACAAGTACCTGGAATTGATTCTTCCTTGTCTTCACAGTCTGTATCAATGACTGAAACGCTAAACGGTAGATGATCATCAAAATCATGTCTAAGTTGTTGACTTCGAAATAGTATGGCATTGCCTTCAATTGATTTTAAATATTTTGCCACAAACCGATCGGCAGTCGTTGGTCTCGTTTCAAAACGCAGAATACGTGTTTTAAATTACCAAAGTCACTTTCCACAGGAGATTAAGAAGCAATTGTGTATGGAGATTGAAATAGTTGAACCATAACTCCAGTCCACATTGGAAAATGTTTGCATAAACGTAAAATAGTTTTACTTAATTCAGGTAAATAATAAGCAGAATCGCGGTCACCTTTCACCTTTGAATTTACGACAGCAATATTTTTAATATCCTGTAGATACTCTTTTAAATTACTGCAAGTCTCTTCTAATGGATTTTCTTCAAAGTCAAAAACAATGTTTTCTGTTTCGTTATTGGAATCAAACGAGTAGTCTTGGTTGGCGTCAATCCCTTTAATTTTGTTTAATAACAAATTTCTGCTACATTCTGTCGGAGTAGCCATTTTGTTTGACCAACCATCCGTTTCACTTAATGCCACTGTTAATATCGATTTTAAAATTTCTGTGAACTCGTTCAAACTAATTGAAGAAATCAATAGACGTAGACATCTTACGTAAAATTGCTTCAATTTTTTGTTCTGGATGCCTTTAAACAGTGGTATACGGCAAAATATTTTTATCATGTGTGCAACGTCAATGCGTACAAAAGATTTAGGCAAAGATTTTCCTTTGCCGGTTAGCACATTAAAACATTGACCTACATAATTTTCCATGCTGGAATTACAAAGCGATCTAGTAACTGCACTTAACAATGCACTAGAGTAGTCGCAAACTACTTCGTGTGGTGTTTTAACAGCCGAACGTAGCCACTGCGTAAGCCATGAACATATTGTCAGAGTGTCTTGTTTTTCGGAAATCATTTGACTTATAGGAATTTGACCGTATGATGCGTTTATGACTGCCTCATATAAAAATATATGGGCTGAAATTAAGTTCATCGAAGTTCGCTTTAATTTTTTAACGAGGCCGCCTGTAGCATCAATGGATAATTTGCTGTACTTTTTACATAAATCCTTATAAATTATAATTTGTTGGTTGTTCCAATAGTGAACCAAGAGTGGATCAATGCCTATTGTATGAATTCATCCTGCGAATTGGGTATGTTTTAACTCAACTAATGAATATACTGGGTCTCTAATTGTAATACCTAAACTTTTGTCTTTTTCCTCTTGCTTCGCTTTACGTAAAACGCTATGACTATATAAATATGGAGGGGATAAAGAATCAAATTCCATGTCTTCTGTAGCTTTTTTCGTCTCTAATTACTGGCAAATAAACATTTGGAAGGAGCTCAACAACTTTTCTTAACAGACTCCTAGCGTAATCGACATTTTCATTGCATAAAATGGGGTCACATAATATCCTACACGCAACTACCAATAATAAGAAATGATGATACATATTTTTTGTCATGATTTTACGGAACACCAGAGGTTTAGAGTAATGCAGAAGGAATCTAAATTGAGTCGCCTTCCAGTGTCTAAATGATTTTAATTCAAATTTTTTTCTCTGGAATTCCTGAGGTATGTGATGTTCAGATCTTTTTAAAGCGACTGCTAATTCGTTAATTTTGTGATAGGACAGTTTGTATTTTCTGTTTACTCTAATTGATGCTCCCAGCAACTGATGTAAAATTCATTTCATGACACCCAGGTACAACAAGTGCATGGAATCTAAAAATACATTATTTATAGGGTCAAAGTTTGTTATTTTTATTAATGATGACACTCCTTCCAAATGATGTTCACTTTGACGTTTGTTTATAAAACTTCTTTTTGTCCTCAGTCTAGATGTCATGCATGGATAAACTATTTTTCTGTTCTTAGTCTGGCCTTTTGTTTCGCACCTCTCGCAAGCGTAAAATCCTCCATGGCCTTTACATTTTTT